ATGCAGTGTATCTCTGTGATTCATCCTGACAGCGGTAGGAGCTCAGACTGGTTGTTAGCACAGAGACTGAGGAATTAGGACTTCTGCATTTGATTCCCACTTGCTCTGTTATTGCCTTCTCTGTGCCCTGCTATCATTAGCTGACAAAACAGGGACAGCACCTTTTGCTGCCTCTAAATGTATTATGTGAACGAGAGTTTGTGAAATGTTTTGGGATTGCAGGCATAAGAGGGCCCAGCCCCTGATGGCACAGTGGCACTGGGAGATGCTACTGAGGGGGGATGACACAGTGCTGCCACTTTCTGCAGTCCATCCAGGATGTTGGAGGATCAGAGGATATGACGCTAACCTGAGTGGGTGTCACCTCCTCTGATGCTAGCGGTCTCAAGTGTCCAGCCTAAACCAGATGCAAGCTACTTCTGCCCCTGGTGAAGGGAGAGAGAGACTCCTGGAAAGGGAGTCACTCACTTTTCTTAACCACCCTGACATGGACAGTCCTCTCAGCTGCAGAAGAAAAACGCTTTTCCCCTGCCTGTTTGTGAGGCCATGCCACGACCAGGGCCAGGAATTTGATCTGAGTTTTGAATGAACCAACCCCAATCATCCTCCCCTTCCTTCTTCCCTTTCTCAGGATTTTAACACAGTTCATTCCTCCTTTGCTGAGGTCCCACAAAGGCCCTTGAGATGGAGCAGCATTGCAGCAGGGAGCCAGGCACTGCTCTGGGCTTGGCAAGAGCACCATGAGACGTGTCTGCACACCCACAGCCTCCGACTAGACACAAAGCTTTTAAGTAGCTATCGCTAGGTGTGATGATTTCTCTCTCTGTTCGCTTTCCACTGTGCACGTACATGCGTGGGTCGTACTGACAAGGTATTAATGATTCCTGAAGCAGAACGTGTGAGAAGAGGCAGATGTATTGCATGGCAAATTAGTGCGAGTACGCTACAACCTTGGGATTGGTTAGTCATGCTTTTATTTTCTGCTATACAAGCTCTCGGAGAATATCCTGGAAAAAGTGGGATCGTCACCGCTGTTTTGTTCATCTCTACATTTCAGTGTGTGTGCCTCTGATTTGGCATTGCATCATCAAAGTGTTAAAACAAACAAAAAAATACAGGCAGTGTGTTTAACCCGAACACATCAAGTATGATCAGGTGCAGAAATTTCTAACTATTTTCTAGCCAAAAAAAGGTTAGAAAAATGATAGTAAAACTTGAAAGGGAATGCTTCTGGACATGTTATTTTATAAGTACTTGAAAAAAATACACTATGCTTAATACTTGAAATCTGCCAAAATAAACAAAGGTACTTATTTCAAAATATGTGCTGAAAGTCTCGTGTTCTTTTGGACCAAAGCATATGTGCGCTGTGTCAAAGCTTTGAAGATGAGATTTTAAATACTTTTTCAAAACATACCCTGTACCATAAATGCTATCAGATGCTTAATTGAGACCGCACTAGCAAGAAGCATGTTTGCAGTAAATTACAGGGAGGTGTTCTGACATGCTTTATCTATGTAAAGATTTCTATTTTTATGTGAAGCTATTTACAGATTATTGATTTCAAAAATAGATTTGTAACTAAAGAAAGATGCATCGTATTTCAGTTGCTCGGAGTTGAGAATCTTGCCTGGCTGGCTGCCTGCTCTCTTAGATGTTTATTCCAGTGGCTTACAAGTGTATGAAGTGATTCAGCCCATCTTATTTTTCGCTCTCTATTTGGAGGAAGGAATTTGTATCCAGGGATCAGGTCTCTTACCAACGCAGGTAGGCTGATTTTTACACCTTTGAAGCATCAGAACAATTTCATTGAAGTCTGTGAGTCTTTCTGTGTGAGTAAGACTTTAGGGTGGGGAACATCCATCACAATATCTTTTGTCAGTTGTCACTGTTTTATGTCAGAGCAGTAAGCTATTGCCGTAGTGCCAGTGGAGCCTGCTGAGCTGTAAGAGTGCCTTTGAGTTCATGTCATACAAAACTTCAGCATAAGATTTTATTATTTTGTGCTTTGTGAACTTTGAAAGCAACATTTTAATAAATAAATCAGGGCAGAGCCTGAAGGTAGAGGTAATATCTTTTATTAGAACAACCAATAGAGTTTGAAAACTTAGACAAGCTTGTGTGTCTATTTTTTCCAGCCATACCAGTTGGTCTAATAAAAGATATTGCCTCTGTCTACAAACCTTGCCCTGCCTATGAACTCTGTTCATCATAGCTACAGCAAAATACTGCTGGATTGTTAAAATAATTCAGGCCTTTCTTGCTTAATTATGGAAACTCAGATGTTTGTGGTTTCCTCAAGTCTCAGCTTTTTGAGTCCCAGCACACACAAAATGACGCTGTTTGGTTTGTCCTGCTGTAGCTGAGGGTTTATCACATAGGAGCTCAAACTGCTTCACCAATTCCTCATTTTAGAAAGGATGTTATTAAAGATCGCCTGCTAAAATTCTTCTGCCATCTGGATTTTAGGATATTTTGTAGCATACTACTGATGAACTATCAGATGTCTGGCATGGTAGGCCATTGGGAGCAGTTCTATCCTAGTACCTGTGTCAGCATCTCTGATGTGGTGTGTTGGTGATGGGAAGCAGATGAAGTCGGAAGAGGAGACTGGCAGAAAATAAAGTCTCTGGCTTTGGCTGTGGGTGTAAATCTTCTAATCTTGCTATGTGTCTGGCTGGGGAAGCAGAATGGTGTAGCCTTTCTAAATGGCAGGATGCTTGGATTTGGACTTCTTTCAGCTGGAAGACCTAGACCCAGAGCTGTCTAAGAGTTACAAGACCAGCCACGCAACAGTTTTTCAGTGCTATTTAACTTGCCTTTTAGAGGCCGTAAATGTATATGCCCTTTGGGTCTGAATTTGTTGCTCTAGGTTAGTAGCTTTAAAATAGCTCCAGGTAAGACCAAGCTGGTGATAATCTGGATCATCTTGAAATATCCACAGGGTAGGCACTTTTCCACCCTCTGGGGACACAAGCCCTTCCTGTAGGTTGCAGTCTTGGAGTCACACCAGACCCCTCATGGTGGTCCATGTCTCTCGGCTGCTGACCTGGAGTCTGTCGCTCCTCCGTGGGCACTCCGGAGGCCTCCGTCCTCCATCAGGACTGTTGCAGGCCCATAAGGACGAAGCCTCCAGCAGCGCCCTGCCTTTGAAGGGGTACAGGTTGGTGCTTGTGAGCTGTCCAGTTCTGTGCTGCCTTCCATCTGCCTTTGGACACGGCTTAAATAGCTGGTAATTACTTATAAGCCCTTGGTGGCTGGGACCCGGGCTATTTTAGGAGCTGCTGCTCCCTGCATGCCCTGTTGTGGAAGTTGCGGCTGGCTGGAATGGCCCGTCACCCTCTCACGGCGGTGACCTCCTCTCCTGGGTGTGTTGCAGGGAATCTGGGGGGGAAGAGCTGTCAGGTCTGGCATGCGGTGCCTTGGGCTGCTTGCCAAGACCTAAATTTGGTGACCTTTATGATGTGGCAGAAGATGCATTTGTAAACCTTGGTTATAGTAACTGGGAGACAAGCAGAGAATGCTGGGGGTGGGAGGAAGATATTTTTTACAGCCAAGCTGTTTGCCATCTCTTTGATTTTTATGATCAGCACTAGTAGGTAAACAGACTAAAAAATGCTGTGACAATCACAACTGTTGGTCTTTAATAAAATTTAAAACTAAAAAATTACACAGATTTCCTTTAGAAGAGCAAGCATGTGTGTGACTGCTGAAAGTGCCATGACTTCAAACACTGTTTTGGACACTTGCTCTACTGTCTAATTTGCTGAAATTATGTAGTTTCCCTTCTGTAAAATGAGGGCAGTCATATTTTAAAGGTGTCTAGAAACCGTTGCTGTGTCATTAGCCATGTAGCTTGTGGGTGGTTTTGTTTCTTTTAAGGAAGAGCAAACAAGCCAAGGCCTGCGGTCCAGCAGTAGTGTGGGTTACACAAGAATGTGGTTTCATGTTATACCTAATTTGGTATAACTGTGGGATGTGTCTCCCACCCTGTCCTTCACACTGGCTCTAATGATAGCGTTGTGGCAGGTTGAGCTGGGTTCAGCCTGCTGACCAGTGGAGAACTACCTAGTTTTTGTTTGCTTTTGTCTGGTTAGTTTTGATGGGTGAGGACTTGGGCTGAACTGAGTCAACGTGGGACTGCTTCATCAACCCACCTGCTGCCAGGGACACAGCAAGACATGCGTTTGGCTGGAAGAAGGGTGCGAGCAGGATTGCCCCAGTGTGCTAATAACACGATTGGGAAAGGTTCCCCTGTTTCTTCACTGCAAGGCCTTCCTGATGAGAAGGTCTGTCTGGTGGTTTGGTTTTGACAACCTGTACTTGTGAAGGGGTGCAGATGTTTGTGAAGATCTACTGGTGAATATTTGCGTTGCTAGTGTTACAGGTTTGCAGTGTGCTCACTCTCTGAATGTGGCTGACCTGCAGAGGACAAAAGATCATCTTTCTACTTTTCTTCCAATTGTTTCTGCTAATTTAGCATCAGTTGGAAGCTTTGTCTTTGCTTAGAGATCAAATGGCAGAGGCAAGGCTCTTTATTTTTACTGTGTGGTAAAAGTGGCAAGGTCAGTCCCACTGGGGTTTGTAGGGTTTGTCCTGCCTAACCTATCTTGTGTATAAAGGGTAGTTTTTCTGTCAGCTATAGCTAATGCATATTAGTAACTCAAGGGTCAAAAAATACCCCTTTTCAGCAATGAAAACAAAGTCTCTGTTTCTAAATGCATTTCCACCACAATGGATAAGGATGTCTTTGCAGTTCCAACCTTGTGGAAAAGCCTTCCTAGCTCTCTGTTTTGACTCTCTATCTCATCAAACATCTCAGAGGAAAGCATCTTGCTTGACCTGAAAACTCAGATCATTCCACCAGGTACTTAGCAAGACTTCCTGTGTGGCACTCCATCTCTTCTTACCAGGAAACAGACTACTTTCTGGTGAAACAAACCTTGAACTTAAGCAAGCTTTTCTCTTCTACCTCTTTAGAAATAAATAAGCATTTGAAGATGACAACCTCATGGAGCGACCGACTCCAGAATGCAGCAGATCTCCCTGCAAACATGGATGGGCATGCTTTGAAAAAGTACCGCCGGGAAGCCTATCACCGGTAAGTCACTCATGTAACCTCAGAACTAAAGTGCTGAGACAGAGGGAAATAAACTAAGCATAAACCCTACACTTCATGGTTTTTTGCTTGTTGGTGAAACAGAAAGGTCGTTCTCACCTTCCTTGCAGAAGTGTTAGAAGAGAACTTAGAAGGTAGTGCAGGGTTGGCCTGCAGGAATTTACAAACAGTAGAGTTGAGATACGTGCACTAGAGCGAGTGAAGGTGTGCTTTCTAAATGCAGCTGAAAGATTAATCAAAGTTAGATTTTGGGATAGAAGCTTTCAAGTCAAGGAATACTTAGTGGGACAAGTGTTACAGTAATTATTGCAGTGCACACTGGGAGGGCATAGCCTTAGACACTGGAATGCACACATATGAATAAGGAGGAAATCAAATGGGCTCAGAAATTAAGTGTTTGAGAATTATATCTAGTATGGTTTATTGTGTGCACCACAGGAGCATGTAGACGCACTGTGCAAGATCTCAGCCTCCTTTTCTGTGGTAGGTGTGCGTACAACCATTTTGCTATAGAACAAGTCTAAGTAAACAAGATAGAGTATGAAATAAAAGAAGTGCTATCACTCTCATTTTATAGTTTGGGTATCAAAATACAGACACTAGATTGTTTTCATGAGATTACATGGGAGATTTGGTTGAGCCAAGAATTTAGCCCACAGCTCCCCTAGCTCCAGGCGTAGAGCATAAAAGACGGCTGCAATCTGTATCCTTATCAGATGTCTGGACCGCTACAGAGTCAAAAACAACAGCATCTAGTAATTGCCAGTGTTCTGTTTGTGGGAGGTGTATCTTCAAAGTTTAGCTTGTTTAATTTGAGAAGTCATGCAGTATGATGATCAGAGTATATTCAGCCGGAA